TGACCTATCTGGCCACTATTAGCAGTCGTCCACTGGGCTTTTTGTCGTATGAATGAACCCTGCTGCCTCGAAACGATGTGTCACACCCAGCAAAATCAGTCAGCCAGTACGAGTTAAAAGAATCCAAAAACAGTGAAGTCTACTCCAAGGTTCATTTCGTTGATGGGAAGTCGATGTTGTGGCGAAAAATATCCGTCAAAAACGTCCCCTTCTACAGCTACGAAGTCAGTCGGAATTTCGGGGGGGGACGGATGGGGGCACCAGTCGGAGGTTACGATAGGTAATGTTTTGTATAGTAGCTTTGTATGACATGCTGTACTAATATGATTGTAAGAGGGTCAGCGTTCATAGGTTGTGACACAACAACTCACTTACGTTACCAGATGGGCAGTATGGTTTAATTGGGTGTGGTGAATAAAGTACCCAATGTCAAAAAACATTTGAAAATTGACAGATTTATACGCATATAAAATCAGCTTGTAATAAACTATAATTATCCTAGTTTGTCTCTAGCACTTTTTTGCACTAGTGGGCATTTGCACATGTTTTAACGCTTCGAAGCATTGTTTCTGCGTGAGCGGATACTTGAAATCACCTATTCGAAAAGGAGAGACTTATCGACAGCAAAAGGTTTAACCCTTGCTGGGTTCCAATCTGGAATTTAACGGATTTAATGTTTGTAATTTAACTCGACAGAACTTTTAATGGAACTCGCGTGACTATTGTTCAAAGTTAAGTAAGTGCTAAGTGGACATTTGAATCGTTGCACTGGAAGGAAACTTGCTCCGATGATCTGATTAATGTAGTATTACGTCGTACCACCACCACCAACAAGCATGTCGCAACGAGCGACTATATCTACCTGTTTATACTGTAGATATTTTTACTTACCAAGGGAAATTGTGCGCACCTGTATACCAGCATCAGTTCAGAATTTTCGCGATTCCCGCCCAAAATTTAGATACGTTCTGCCTATCAAATCTAGCCTCCTCTTATTACTCGCTTATTCACTGGTGACTGTTGCTGTATTTGTGCGTGGACTTGCTCGGTAGCTTTTCCGGCGCTGCCCTTAATCTACGTGTTCAGATATAGCTTTGTACTAAAAGTGTGCGTGGTTTGTCAACTCGTCTGGCCTGTGACGGGTCCGCCACGCCTCTCCTATTGCGACAGCCGTGTCCCATTTACACTTATCGAGGATCAGCTGGACGCTTACCATATTGTCTAAGGTAATGTACCATATATTGACGATTCTCCGTACATATATATATATGTATGTATGTGTACCAAAAAGCGTTGTCGCTCTATGTAAGTGAGCTAACCCCAATTTAACCTTCGACCTGATGTCAAACGCCAGTCTCGTCATCAACAAGCGGTCGACCTACGCTTCGTAACAGCCGGGTCTACTGTCCTTTTTAATACGTGGCCGAGCTGACTCTGCAAATGCAATGCTATCGTGCGGCTGTAATGGCCACGGTTGCTGCTGCAGCCTGATTTTGGTGGTTCCTTCGCAATGGAATCTTCCGCTCTGCCATTATGTTTAGTCCGTAGGCCACTAGCATCCTGGCCGTACCTAGCGTTAGCCTAAATGACATAGGCAGCTGCTTCCTTTAGGCGCGTATGAATCGACAGGACGCAGATGGCTAACGTGAGTGGACTGTCGCTCCAGTACAGCAGGCATGCTTTGCCTGTTCGATCAGAACTGATTTTTGCTCTTTTTCGACCTGCTCCGCCGCGATTATTTCTGAGCTGGTTCATAGAGCTGTTCTTCCAGTCAGGCGGACACCGAACGCTGAACGGCAGAAGCAACGATAAAAACCTGACCAGTTCGAACCTTTCACTAATTGCAGCCATCGTGATAGTAGGGATATTCCATGGCGACGGTAAACCTTGGCGGTGGAGGGTAAGGCCTGTTGATTCCTATTTGAAAATTTGGCACTTAACTAGTTGTCGTTACGTGACATGTTGTTTACGTAAAGACGAGTTAAAGCCTCACCTCAACTCGGCGGCCAATCGTAACTGATTTGCCACGCTATCATGGTGTCCAGGCAGCGTTTGCTTTTGTCCGAGGGAAACACATAAAAATGATAGTCGTCTTTCCGGCATGTGAAAGACAGCCGATCGGTGAGCGCTAGGTTTGTAGTGCCGGCAGAGGTCGCAGTAGCAGTCCCTGCAAAGGCTTCCCAAACAAGGGGGGGGGGGGGTGGCGAAGCCTCCTCCCTTTCGCTTAACTGTCCTTCAACTTCGTTTTACTCGTTTTAGTAGATTTAGAGTAAAAGTATGAAGGTACAGGTATGAATCTGCGTGTGTGCCGATAATCCTCTGTCTGTCCTATAGAGTATCGCGTACTTTTTGGGCTCTTTACTGCTGTCTCATCGAACCGGGCAACAAGAAGACTCTTTGCAAGAAGACACCGTTCAGAAAGTTGACATCCTCATTCCTGAATTCCACGAAGATTTCATTCCTCACTCGGCGTCGACAGACTCGCTGAGACCACTAACATTCGGCACTGTCAAACACCCAGACATAAATACGTACCCACAGTCTAGCATAACGAATACAACCACTGCAGTAATCTACTCCCTTCATTTGGGAAAAATGTCTGATTAATAGTCGAATCAGCCAGACCAGTCATGATGCAGTAGCTGATGGTGTATACCAACTAGAGATCTACAAGGGAATGTGCTCGTCTTTTCAAGGTTTCATCAGAAGAGTGATATGGAGAAGAATTCCAGTAAAGGCGAGCCGTGTTCTAACCGGCTTTTCGGATATATGCCATAAATAGCATGCATATGAACATGGAGCCAACATTTGGGGTTTTAGGGTGGGTTTAGGGGTGATGAAATTATGAACGTCTGAGAACGTCAAATTTTGGCAGTAATTATTTGTAATATGAGTATAATGTAAATGATAAATGACGGCGTAGATGTCGACAAGAATTTTAGAAGGAAAGTCGCATGTTACAAGAAAAACAGAAGCTGCCTTCAGCGATGGGGCGTTAAGCGCGAATGAACACCGAAAGGTATTCCGTTCTACACATTGTATAAACGACGGCAAGCATATAGTCTCAAATCAGCAAGAGAAAGAACTATATGTACCACTTACAAATATAGTAGTATTAACCGGCTAATGTGTTCGATTACCTTGTGCAGTTCTGTTGAATAGATTCGTAAAACGAGTATCCTTTTTGAAAGATATCAAAGGATATTCAATCAAAAGATCGAAAGAGGCAAGTGGATTTGATCACACTATAGCGCACGAGGGCTCGCTCAGAGCTCTGTTACATTTTCATCGCTTTATAGGCTCCACTATTTTGCAAAAAGCGCAGTTTACACCATTGCGTTCGTCTCCAAGTGCAGAGCAAACTTCTTAAACTTGAGTGCTTGTAAAATGTCCATTTGGTTTTCTGACTGATAATCTCCAAACGGCCGGCACGTTGGCGTCCATGATCTCAAGCCCGCTATGCATTTTTTGGTTCCTGGTCTGGTCTGACATGCGCGACGTCGACACTCCCATTTTCTTTCGGTGGTTCTTAAGGGGGTGAGACCTGCTTCGACGCTTGCGTTTACCCGAGGTCCAGTGCCTCAGGCCTCTATTGAGCTCTAGCCCGACACAGCCACTCCTGACACCGCCTTTGTAGCAGCTATATAGTTGATTAACGTTCCGTTCTCACAGTTGAGTTCGATGTGTGCCCGGATTTGCCTTCTCCAGCATGCGGTAATGGTTCCATTATGGAGTGGTCATCGGACCCTTTGCCAGAACTAGATCCCCAAACTTCCAATGCCCTACAACTCTATACCCCAGTCGCCCTCTTTATGCCAGTGCGCCCGCGGCGTCCTGCCTGAGGAGCATCCCGGGTTGCTTTGATCCAAACCCAGGCATACGCCCTCATCCACTGCGAGTACAACCGAACGGCCTTCATTCGCGTTCCCTGACGAAGCCTACAGTTTTCTCCATCTAGTCAGTAATACGCTTAAATGCTGTCCATGGCGATCCCCACGACGTAAGCAGGCTCGTGCGTTAGGTGTACCAAGGTGTCCAGGCCACCATTTGCGTTTGAGTTTGTATGCGTGTCTGAACGCGGCTGTACATGACTTATAGTGTGTGCGTGCGTGTTTGTCTGTCAGCGCATCGTAGGATCTCTCAAGCCTCTTAGGGCGAACTTGGTAAGCACGCTTCACTCTCCTCCAGCTCATTCTGTCTGTGTGCTGGTGACTTGGTCGTTTGTTCGACTGCGCCCTATAATCGCAGTGGTAGCTGCTTTGTCGGTTGCTGACCGTCTGGCCGCCTCGTTAGTGATCGGTTTGTGTCCGTATTGCCTCCTCTCGCTTCATACATCCCTCTCCCATGTAGCGGGCCTCCGTTGGGCCGGTTCAGCTCATGTCAGTCTGCCCGCTGACATTCGCGAGTGCTGGTCGTTCTGCCGATGATTCTTTGACTACTAGCGAAATTTCTACATGTAGTAGCAGTAGTAATAGTTGTTATAGTTCGATCAGTGTTTGCTAATTAACAAGTTCAACTAGCATAGTGCTGTGGTATAGTTAGTTCAACGAATTCGGAAGGAACCGACCAATTTGTGCTGTTGATTTGGCGGCGCCAGCCCCGTTTAGATGTTCGATTTGATTGTGCCTGTCGTACCATCTGCACTTGCGGCAACTGGCCCTTAACAGCTGACAGAGCCGGAAATATTACGTACGGTAGTGTGCGACTTACTAGCAAACGATTACTGCTCGTTAATCAAGTAGCAATCGTTCCTGTTCTGTCATCCTGTAATCTTATGGCTAGCGCTCCGTTGGGTTTAAAGAGAGAAATCGCCAACACCCCCGTTTTTCCTGCTAGGAATTCGTTGCTGCGCGACATTTAGTCGTAACGATTCCTAGCTACTAGTACAATTCAAGTCTGCATACTTCAAAGGAAGGAAAATTTATTGAAACAAGGAAAAAACGAAGGGTCGGTTCTACTATATTGATCTTAACGCCAAACTGCCTGGTGCTTTCCTCAAGTCTTTCAACATCCGGACCCAGGGCGCGTACTGTGAGTCTACGGTCTACTAGTGAAAACGCCACGATTAGCGCGAATTCGCAACCACGTGTAGGGGCGGGGTGCTGCCTAGAGGCTGATCGGCAGCAACAGCAGGGGCCGCGCCAAAAGGAGTCGCGGTGTGATAGTGTGAACATGTGCTCCATCCACTCAGGAGAACAGAACATATCTTTCATCTCACTCCTTCCAAATGTCAGGTAAACTCCATTATTTATACGTATTAGCATTGCGAAAACATTTCGATGCTCATTCGGGCAGCAAGAGTTTTTGTTTGACCTTTATCGCCTGATTGTTATTAATTTTCGAGACAAAAACATATTGTTATTTATTATGCGCATATGGTGTACGACAGTACGAAAAATAGGCGCAAAAAGCAAAAAAAATAACTACCCATGGTGGTTAGTAGTAGCAGCAGCGTAGTGTCGTATCCTGGAGAAGTTTCCAGAGCTGATTCGTTTCAAAGGTTGATGGAGGCTTTAACTCTATCGACGCTTGGTCATGTTTAGGCAATATCTAAGTTTCAATAAATTAACTTTCTTTCGAACCGGCTTTTGTACTCATTTGCGTGCAGAATGCTAGATAATTCCTCGGTTGGGTCTTTTCTTACTTGAAGAAGCATTCAGCCTCGAATCGAGTTCAAGCAATAGGTCTAGATAGGATGTTAGATCGGTGTGACACGATCTATTACAAAATAAAACGAAAGGCGGTTATTTTTCCCAAAAACTGATTTTTTTTTTCAAATTTGTATGCGTTGTTTTTAAACGTCGTCTATATATCGAAGAAAAATGCAGGAAAAGACCGGAGTCACCGACGTCCGTAGCCGATTAGGTCATTTTTCTCCGAGATATTTGTTGTACATGCAGAAATTTTACCAAAACCAATAGCTCGTTTCTAGCTCTGTTGTACATTATGCAAGTGTATGCAAAAAATTGTGTTACATCAGCAAGACAATGGAGAAAACTGGGTCCGGCTACGAAAGGTCAATGGGAGCTTGGCCTATGTGTAGCAGCTATTGATGTAACTTCCAGCAAGTGCACGATTATGTATGAAACAATGGGGCTGTTAACAGCTATTTTGTTTCATCCTGTTGAATTAGCAATAACTTGAACGTCCTAACATTCTAGAGGGCAACAATGTTACATTATACTTTATCTATGCATGGTAGGTCAGCTTGTGTTGGAGTATACGATCTGTGATCTGTTCGTTTTTGACGTCGCTCTCAGTAGAAACGTGTTAGGTCCTCGTTGATTGCAGACGAATATCGCTAGATAAATTGTAAGCAAATGTGTCTTGCCATATTTGACAAGCGTCATCCCACGCATGGAAGATACATTGGAGATTCTCATCGCTCGTAGCTCGCGTTGCATATTCTTAGCTATAGAAGCAGTCATGACATGCAGCCCTTCTGTGACGTGTCCGGGCCACTCGTACCCTCGATTATAAAGTTTTTTTTTTTCTCCTCTTTTAGTGGTTAGTGCTACACGCAAGCACACGGTTTTCAATAATTGGAAGAGCCGTTTTGGTCTGATGTCATTTATTTGAGACACTATCTCTATATATATATATAACAATTACCATATGGTATTCATCTATACGAGATGGTGTATTGTGTTCTGGTGTTGAAACTACGTTCTATTCGTGTTGTTTTCCCAGTTGACCACTGAAAGAAGTGGAGTCGAGTATCTGGTTAAGTGCTCCAGTTTAGTATCGCTGCGGGCGGGTGTTTCCGCCGCAGTCGTACTATAATATATAGTTTTTAGTTGTTTAAATTGTGAACTACTGGGTTTGAGGAGCGTTGGGACTAGGCGTTGCTTTTCTTTCCTTGCTATCTAATATTATATTGACTAATGCATCTACGCAAAGTCATACCGTATGTTACATGGAAATTTTCATCAAAAACCTGCTTTCCCCTATATATATATATATATATATATATATATATATATATATATATATATATAAGTAGAATCGTTTAGCGTTAGACTGATTGATGTGGTTTCCTCTAACGGTTTGACGTCAACCGCTCTGACCTATGAAATGCTTCTGGATCCAAACACAACCGACTGATTTTTGCCAGCCGACCCGGATCGTGTAGTAGCGTTCTATATGCGCTAGCGAATTCTAAACTCACAAGGACGAATCTACTCCATGTAACTCTGCATGGTAGAATCGATATAAATTATCGCTCTTAATTAGAGTGAAATCTCTTTCGGATATGAAATGAAAAACTGATTATCGTAGCCATACAACAAAGCAATGTCCGGTCATCGCTCAGTGTCTGTCGGTCCATAGTAGTAAATGGTTGTCGTTGTCGTTACGCATAACCATAGTCCCATAGGGTTAAGCGTCGCCGACGCTTCGACGCGGACCGTAAAAATACTGCTTAAGAAGCTGGTCTGAGAAGGACTAAAATGGTGTTCTTAGAAACCCAAAGCTACTCGAATTGGGCTTGCAATTATTTTTTTTCATATTACACTGACCGACAGCCATTGCAATAGAACCTGTGAGCTCGATAATAGGGTCAAAAAATGTATATTTTTTGTTGTATATTCTTATTAGTCAAATTGAACCATAGCAAATCTCGAACACATTACATATGTGAGAGCTTTCGTCTCTAAAGAATTTGCCGCGCCTTTATGTACGTACATATCAACGTCAAGTAGTACTCCCACATGACGATTCTTTGTCGCGACTCTAATTATTCTTAATTACTCCTCGCCTGCTGTAGCTCTTAAGCATAGACCATTTCTGACCAATAAGCAGGTCACTCAAAAAAAATAGCAGTTCAAGTCTTACAAATGGGTAACATGCCGCCATGCCGGTCCGGCAGATCCAGCATGGCACTGTTCTCTGGAAATTATTTGATGCAAGGCTGCCTTTGCTTTATTTGTTGGTCTGCTTTGCGTATCTACCTCGGCTGTGTACCTTCCCCCCGTGGTCATCGGTCGTTTTAGACCTAACGGCGCGTAACGCGGCCACGCGATCAGCGCCGTCGCTACGACCGCGGAAGCTCTCGACAGGTTTGAGACGACCGTTAATGTCGTCTCTGTGACGCCACCCTTCAGAACGCCAGCGACTGCTGACGCTGGAGAGCGTGAATATACACCCAGTTATAGCGATCGCTGGGTAAGGTGATTTGTCTGTTGCTGGCTGACGCCGTCCCTATACTTCTATAATAGAAGTTGTCTCTACCAAGGCGATGATAGAACGGGGGAAAGCTGGACACAAGGACCTTATCTAGCTTAAATCAAAGAGGTGTTCATTCATAGGGGAACGAACGTCGCAGCTGTCGTCTACATGCCTCTATGCCGTGGATGTTAAAGTGGATGCTGCTTTCGATCCTTTTCTGGCATCGTCGTATTTTGCGGACATTTTGAATGATGCAGTTCCAGTCAAATTTCGTTTTCCAATAGTAACATAAGACGTAATCAGACTTGGGCCAATAACTTGGTTTTGCACGATCTCAGAAGAAGGTAAGTCAGCTTGGTATACGTATTACAGTGTGTAGTTTACAAACTGTGGCCAGCCTCTGAGTTAAAAGGGTATATATAGTTCGCTGCTATTTTCGTGGCCATCGTGAGGTTGCTGCCATTGAACGTTGGGATGGTGATGATTCCACTTGTGGCGAGCTAGGGAAAGTAGAACTTGAGCGGTGTAAATCTCCTTCGATAGCTTTAAATTAGTTAGCAAATTTTGCCAGCTGTTTAAAAGCGCTAATAATGCCGTAGAGTATAGTTGGCTTATTAGCAGTATTGATCGGATTTGAGCGTCCGCTATCACTCATTGCCAAGCAGTGATGTTTGGCCCCAGTCAACTGAGCTTCCACTTGGGCATGTTGCCGATGGGGTTGACAACTACGTTCATAATGTTTGGGGGTAGGTTTACTCGTATTTACGCTACCGAGACATGTGTTTATATTCGACGTACCACTAATTTTACATTTCTGCCTCATCTTATTCATAACACCCTATCATGTGTCATATGCACGATGACACGAAGAAAATTCATATATCGTATTTTAATGCGTGAGACATACTTGACGTGTCGCCCACGGTAAGTGGGGAACCCATTACAACGGCAGCTGAATTCCAGTCGAGTTATCGACACTTACAACGCTGTTTTTCATTAAAAAAAAAAACTACCGTCGATCGAATTCGAATCCAGCAAGGCTGTCAAACATAAATTCCCTCGTTCCGGTGAAACGGAAGATGGCAGAAGCGTTTTTCAAGGGACATTTCTCCTGAACGTCTTGTTTTGGCGTGGGTCATCAACCCACAGAAAAATCTGCGACAAAACTAGCACGCGATGGGTGTCGCCGCTCCCGTTGGTATGTTGTCGTGTTTCTGTTTTTAATCAGTATGCTTGTCTACCCTTTTTTTCTATTTTTTCACGCGATTTCTTACGTAAAAAAAGTCTACATAACTTTGCCGTTAGGTGATTCAGGAAAGGCTCACTTCTTCATTGAATAACTGTACGTGAATGGAGTAGACTGGACGCCAGCACTTCTCAAAACGTGCTACGTTTTTTTATTTAGTTTGTATGTACGTTCCATAAATGCACGTTCAAATTAACAAAACAACGGGACTTCTCTAACCATTTTCACAGCTGCCTGAAGAATTTCCTGTTATTGACTTATCGACATGATGATTAATGCTTTTTTCTGAAGAAATAAATAATGTATCTATTATCGATTCATTCTATTGCTGTCTTACAATATGATACGAGTCATCACCTAGAGCCGCGGTAACAACATCGAGCAGAACAAAAATCAAACAATGTATATTGACATCAGATGTTCTGTCCACGATAAATTTCAGTCCAATACCGATTCACCAATACATCCTCTCGTCGTGGTCTGGATCATACATCGTAACCTATCAAGGACTAACTGTTTAACAGAAGCGGGACTACCGCTTCTGTTAAACGGTTTTCCCTGTGCCGAACTCCCTTTGGGACGTATCTCCCAGATAGCCGTTCAGCGTACAGACCGTGTACAAATATTGGATGCTATGCGCACTACCGTAGATATTAGGACGTCGGTTCTTATCCCACCATTTGGCCCTAGTCGAGGTCCAGCTTCGTCTCCATGCCGCTCACCGTTATGCTCTCGTATGGATTGTTGTTATGAGCGTTGTGATGATGCAAACAATGTGACGTCCATCGCTATTCGCAGCTAATAGCTGCGTTGTACCTCAACTAAGGGACGCAAACATGGAAGAAAGAACAACGGCACTGAGGGAGGGTCGTATCGGCTTTGATCTCTGATGTCGCCAACGACATTATTAGATAGAACTCTGAATTATTTTAACCAGACACTGGTTTAATTGTTCAGCCTTCTTTTGCTTTCAGCGCAGTCCTTTCGTAACATACCTCCTTCCTGGTTTATCTTAACGGTATAGGAAATATATGTCCGTTCGGAAGAAATCCTATGGTACGACATAAGAATTTGCGCACTTAACCAAAAGCCACCAATAAATAAATACCCGTTGTGTAGATTTCTAATTACACAAGTGTCCATGTTTATAATTACATCCTTGGCACAGTTAATGTTGTGAGAGTTTTGTCCACTAAAATCTGACTGCTGCTTTGTAGGTGTTGTCGATATAGAGCCAATTTAGGAATGCTATTTCGGTTCTTCATGCCATATTCAGGCCATAACATGGGTGTCCGCCAATCTGGCTACACCCACCAGTAAATTCGTCACTACTGAATGTGACTCCCATATCAGTCTTTCTTCGCCATGGTGTGAAAAGATGTTTAGCATCTTGCATTGGTGTTCACTACCCCATTGTCATGGGCTCCTCAGCGCTGCCGGGAGCCCTTCGCAACGAGCTGAACCCATCATGGGTCATAGACCACAAAGAGACTTGCAGGTCCTTTTGCGCACTCTGCGACCTTGGGTTCAGGTTTGTCGGCGGGGCGACGGTTTGGTCTGTAGGCTTATCTCGCACAGCTTTTCCTCTCCCGTTTGCACTGAGCCTTCTAATCATCTCTCGCACTCCAATGACCAAGAAGCTTTGGGTTGCTTCTCCAGCTTGGAGTACCTTGCAATCTGCCTAGTCTCTGCCTCCCTCTGCAAGCTAAAGGTCAGTAAAAATGAGGCGAACGTAGCACAACAGAGTCCTGTCGATAGCTTGAGCCCTATAAAGAGTCTTCGCATTTCGCGGGCGCCGGCTCCAACGCCGCGAGCTGTTCAGCGCAAGTGGTGTTTTACCGCTTTGAATCAAGACATACTATGCTTCGGACTACTGCCGTATGGTCCGGTCCAACCTAGCCTACGTTAACGACCCTATGCCTAGCTAACGAGCCGAACCTGTTACTAGATGATTGGAAGATATAGAGCTAAAACATAGAACTGCTTCGTCGAAGAAACGTCGCGCCACCGTAAGTGGTTAGGCAGTACGCCTAACCGAGTGACCGAGGCGACTTTAATACCGCTAGATCAGAGCCAACGGCAAGCTCTAGACCTCTAGTTACCCCCCTCCTCTCCCCTCCCCTCCCCTGACCTTCAAATATGAAGTTTCGTTACAAGTTCCTTCGAGAATATAACTACGAATATGCTAGAGAACTTAAAATACTTTCGCGAACTCTCCACAATAATCTGGTGTAATAGGTGATCACATACGGTTTTCATGGCTAGCCTTTGGACGGTTACAAAAAGACTGCTAACAAAGTAAGACCACACCTTATATCTTTTGGCATACATCATTTCTTTGACATTCATAATCACACGACTACAAGAATCGGGTCGTAGTCGTCGTACAAAAAAGGGGAGTCCTTTTGAGAAAATTCCTTTTTTAGACTTGGCTTCTCAGATCTGAAGACATCTGTCTTCAAGCTGCTATTTTAGCTGCTGTGTTGAAAATTCACTGCAACGTGGTACAGGTCAAGTCTAAATAAGCAGCAGAGAAAGAACAATACTGATAGCGGTAGTAGCCACAGGAATTTAATTTCTAACTGAGAATTTCTTATTTAATAGCGTTTTTATTTGCGTCGCAAATCGTTCGCGTTGAGCGGACCTGTTGTCTACGACCGATCCATATGGAGCACTCATCCCAACATTGACTCTCCGCTAAAACAAGTTACCCTTTCCCTTTAGACTGGCGGGATGTATAGATCGTGTTGGGACTAATGGGCGCTTAAATACAGTAAAGTGCACTAATCCCTTAACGTAGGTAGAAATCTACTTTGTAGGTTGGCAGCGTATCGAGCATTTGGGGGCATTCTTCGCGCGTTAAGCTTTTAGACGGCTAAAATATAATTTATTGGCAATGTTTACATCATAGACTGTACATAAACTGTATGTCTTCCTTTTTGAGTTCACCCTGAACTAGTGTGGTAGTAATTGGTTTCATAGGACATTTCTTATCGTTAAATGTTTGCAACTTCGATTTCGTATAGTATGCTATCTTCCTGGAATAAAGGGAAGCATTGTATGTATGATGAAAAGTAGCTCATTCAAGTGAAATTCTGTTAGTAAGAACAATTTTATCTCAATGACGGTGGTTACATGTTCGGCTAGTATTCTATACGTATATTCTTTTTCTGTATCCAGTTAATTTTCACACAATATAATAGTGAGGTGCAAGGGCTCCGCTGTCGGTGACCTCAACCGTAATAACGAAACGAGTCTCCAAACCACAGTCTCGTATTGCGATACCGCAGCTGCACGCTGTCGATTTCTGAATTTGAGAAAATCCAGAATTGATTGAAACGCCCTTTTCGGTGATGGGCACTAAGCATATGGCTTATATATATATATATATAGCTCAACTGCAGTAGTAGTTTAATGGTATGCTTGACTTTACTATTGGCTTCACGATTTCAGCGAGCCGGAAAAGAAGCTCGCTGGGGCCTGGTCTACAGGGGGTTGTGCAGCCTCTTCAGAAATGCGGTCGAAAGCGTACAAAATCTGTCGGGAGTTCCTTTCGGGAAGTTGGAAATCGATCTCCTCAAACGATATGATCTTCAAAACTGTTGGGTAAGCACTTGTTTTGAATCTATTTTCACACCGTCAGCAGAATTCATTTTAGTCGTCTTGGCATCATGGTAGACATTGGTGCCTTTTTGGCCACGTAATTGCCGAACTATTTGCAGCAGATTCACGTAACTCGCAAATCCGCTCACGGAAAACTGAGATTTATCACTTACACAGGAAGACGATAACAACTACCCCCGATGAACTGTAACATCGATATCATATTTGCTGATAAGTAGTTCTCATATGATCGCATTTGCCAAATACGAGATATAGGTTAGCCAATTATTAAGAGCGGTATGAAGGGCTTATCATTGCTAGGGTTTTAAAAATTGTTGCCGCTTTCTTTATTTAATGTAATTTTCTCCTCTTTCACCTCTTCTTTTGCATTTTCTTTCCTCTGCTTGATTTGTTGTTTTGTAACTTTATGGTGACTCGTTAAACGAAAATAGAAAACAACTCAATATGCTATCATTATATATTTCAGTACATAGAATTAATGAATAAAACGGAGTGGTTTGTGTTGCAGTGGCGGCCTATCAAATCTCCTCTACTATTGTTCGCTGCCGGAGACTCACACCCCCCTGTGCGGGGAACCATCTCAGGTAAATTACGTTGTTTAGGAGATCATTGCCGTTTTATGGATGTAGTGTTTATTTGAATTACACAGTGAGCGTAGTACGCGAAGATACGATAAACCACCTGTTTAGGGGATCTTCCTAATCAATGGTCAGATCATCGTTGATAGTGTACGCATGCACTCTTCTGCGATGAAGTTTATTCGGTTCACGTTGTTAGACGGTACAACTACTTTAACCCAGATTGAGCTGCTTACGCAGAACAGGACCATTCGCTCTATGTACGATGCTACTATTAGCGGTTGATTTTGTGCTCGTGAATCGCGGGCGGGCCCAACTCGTAATAGAACCGTTCGGGAATTTGAGTGATGTTTCAAGTAGCTTTAGAAGGCTGGTGTCTTCCACGTTAAAACGAAACTTGCCTATGCCCAGTTTCACACCAAGAGAGCTTCACGTGCGCTTCAATTTAGTACGCAATCGCATTATTACTGCATTTGCAGATATTTGCTTAAAAGAGCTCGAACTCTGTACAGAAAAAAATAATAAATATAGTAATAATAATATATAGTAATAAATAAAATAATATAGTAAATAGATAATAATACATGTCGCTACAATCGCCTGACAAGACTTGCCAGCTTCATGCACTGTTCCTAGACAACCCTCATGTACAAAACGACAGTGATATGCTCTAGATTTGTCTAGCTAGGATCAAAACATCAGCATCTGGACTGGTAAAATCGGCTTGTTACATATGTAAAATAAGGCACAAACCTATGTCAAATGTACGCAAAGCGTCGAGATCTCTACAACGACCATGACGCATTTTACTTTACGCTGAATTTATAAATTTTATGTTTACTGTAGTATACGGCGAGACGCAAAAAACGCTTCGAACTCTAATAGCTAAAGTTCGGGTTTTGCAAGTAACTGCTCGGCAATAACTGCAAATATATGTACTTTAAACGAGTTGAAAGAAATCTTGACCTTTTAATTTACCCTTTACGTTGACTTGTCAATGTTTTTGGACATGTAGGTGCTAATGCGAATGTATGGTCAGATACATGGCGACCAAGACACGTCAACAATTACCGAATCTATCATTTGCACGTTGCTTGCCGAACGGGCTCTTGGACCAAAACTCTATGGCGTGTTCCCTGGTGGACGACTCGAAGAGTACATTCCGGTTAGTAACTAACGCTATAAAACGACAATATATCATAGTAATATTGTACAAGTGATAAACATATTGGTTTCGGTGTCGATTAGGATCGAGGTGTAAACAACGGAATCGGTTTCTGCTAAAATAATTTTAAGGACCAACGAAGGCACTGTTATTTGATGCCGACTCATACAAACGTGCGTGCTGTGTCTTATTATTTTGCGTTTTGGCGTCACAGGCTCAGGCACTGATTACGGAGCAGATCAGACAGCCGGACATCTCGCGGTCGATATCTCGTAAGTTAGCGCGCTTACATGCTCTTCAGGCCCCGCTGACCAAAGAGCCAACGTGGCTCTTCGATAACGTTGAAAAGTAAGTTCAATCATAATAAGCGAGCACTATCACTGTTTCCTCTATTCTATTTGTTCCACGATGTATATCTATGTATGTACTGGATTTGAATCGATCTTTATTATGCGATTGTGAAGCACTCATTCGCTAAAACAAAGCCGAAATAGGTAGGTTTCTAAACTACTGTTTAATATGCCATATATTTGCTGCGTTTGGAGTGTAGTTATTAGCTGTCTCTCCCTAGATATGTGTACATTATATAT